AATGTATATAAAGTACATAGATATATAGTAAATGTTTTACAAAAGGTAGCAATTATTATCATAGCAAGGCTCAAGATGGAGAAGGAATTATTTTTATCACCTTTTTCTTTTCGGGGAGTCCAAAGAACCAGCTACAATTCCTCCTAGGGGAAAAAAAAAAAAAAAACTGAGCTAAAAATAAGCCAATTTAAATTGAGAGCCTAAAACCATACAATGCTATTTAATAGGCAGTATTATCTTCTTTTCACAGATAAAAAAGAATTTTGAGGCAGGCAGAAGATTCTAGACTGCTCACTCTTAACTCACAAGTACACAAGGTTTAACTCCCCTGGAAGTCCTCAAAGTTGACAAGTTGGGCCCTACAAAATGGAAATAAAATATTTTCTGGATAGCTTTTTCTATGTTTTAAAGTAACAGCTTTAGTGAGATATGATTCCCATACCATAAAATATGTTCTTTTAAAGTGTAGGATTCAGTGAGTTTAGTATATTCACAATGTTGTGGAACTATCACCACTAAGTCCACATTTTCACTACCCCAAAAAGAAACCCCATACTCATTAGCAGTCATTCCCATTCCTCCTTCCTTGCAGCCCCTAGCAATCTGCTTTCTGTCTCTCTGAATATGCCTCTTGGACATTTCGTATAAATGGAATCATACAGCATGTAGTCTTTGTGTCTGGCGTCATTCACTTAGCATAGTGTTTTGAAGGTTCATCCATGTTGTAGCATTTATCAGTACTTTAGTTCTTTTTTTTTTTTTGCGGTACGCGGGCCTCTCACTGTTGTGGCCTCTCCCGTTGCGGAGCACAGGCTCTGGACGCGCAGGCTCAGCGGCCATGGCTCACGGGCCTAGCCGCTCTGTGGCATGTGGGATCTTCCCAGACCTGGGCACGAACCCGTGTCCCCTGCATCGGCAGGCAGACTCTCAACCACTGCAGACATACCAAATTTTATCTGTTTACCAGTTGCTGGACATTTGGGTTGTTTTCATTTTTATGGCCATTATGAATAATGCTGCTATGAATATTCATGTACAAGTTTTTACGTGGACATATGTTTTCATTTCTCCTAGGTGTATACCTAGGAGTGGAATTCCTGAGTCATATGGTAACTTTATGTTTAACAATTTTATAAATGGCCAGATTGTTTTCCGAAGCAGCCACATTATTTTATATTCTCACCACCAATGTACAAGGGGTCTGATTTCTTCACATCCTTGCCAACACTTGTTATTGTCCATCATTTTGATTATAGCCATTATAGTGGGTGTGAAGTGGTATCTCATTGGCTTTTTTAAATTAATAGACTTTATTTCTTAGAATAGTTTTAGGATTACAGAAAAACTGAGCAGAAAGTAAAGAATTCCCATATATCCCTTCCCCTCCACTGCTGCTCACAGTTTCTCCTGTTATTAACACTTTTTATTAGTGTGATACATTTGTTACAATTGATGAACTAATAATGATACATTATTATTAACTAATGTAACTATACTTTGCATTATGGTTCACTCTTCGAGCTGTACAGTTCTTTGGGCTTTGACAAATACATCATGTCATGTATTCACCGTTATAATATACAGAATTGTTTCATCGCCCTAAAAAGCTTATGTGTTTCACCTATTCATCCCTCCCTCCCTCTTCCCAAATCCCTGGAAACCACTGATCTTTTTACTATCTCCATAGTTTTGCCTTTTCCAGATTGTCATACAGAGTGGCTATACCATTTTGCATTCTCACCAGCAATAAATGAGAATTTCTATTGCTCTTTGTCTTTGTCAGCATTTGGCATTGTCGGTGTTTTGGAGTTTAGCCATTCTAACAGGTGTGTAATGGTATCTCATTGTTGTTTTAATTTGCATTTCCCAAATGACATGTGATGTTGAGCATCTTTTCATGTTTATTTGCCGCCTTTACATATTTTTTGGTATGTTGTCTATTCACATAGATCTTTTGCCTGTTAAAAACTTAGATTGTTTTCTGATTGATGAGTTTTAACAGGTCTTTGTATATTTGAATACAAACCCATTATCAGATACGTGTTTTGCAAATATCCTCTCCCAGTTGTAGCCAATCCTTTCGTTCTCCTAATAGTGTCTTTCATAGAACAGACTTTTAAAAATTTTAATGTAGTCCATCATATTAACTTTCTCTTTAATAGATCTGCTTTTGACGTTGTATCTAAAAAGCCAACGTTATCTAGATTTTCTCGTGTTATCTTCTAGAAGTTTTATAGTTTTGCATTTTACATTTAGGCCTATGATCCATTTGGGGTTAATTTTTGTGAAAGGTGCAGGGTCTGTATCTAGATCCAGTATTTTACATGTGGATATTCAGTTGTTCCGGCATAATTTTTTTTAAAAAGGTTATAGTTTCTCCACTGAATTGCCTTTGCTCCTTTGTCAGAGATCAGTCAACTGTATTCATATGGGTTTATTATCTGGGCTCTCTGTTGTGTTTTGTGGATCTCCTTGTCTGTTCTTGTACCAATACCATACTGTCTTTATTAATATAGTTTTATAGTAAGTTTTGAAGTCAGGTACTGTCAATCCTCCAACTTTGTTCTTCTTCAGTATTTTCTTGGCTGTTCTGGGTCTTTTGCATGTAAACTTTGGGATCAGTTTGTTGATAGCCACAAAACTTGGTGGGATTTTGTTTGGGATTGTGGTGAATCTATAAATCAAATTGGTTGTCACTATTGAGTCTACCTATCTGCAAATATGGAATATCTCTCCATTTATTTATATTTAGATCTTTGACTTCTTTCATCAGAGTTTTGTAGTGTTCTTCATATAGATTGTGTACATATTTTATTGACACCTAAGTATTTCTTCTTTTTTTTTTGGTGCTGATATAAATGGTGTTTAATTTCAAATTCCAGTTGTTCACTGCTGATATATTAGAAAGCATTTGACTTATTTTTATTAACCTTGTATCCTATGACCTTGTTATAATTGCTTATTAGTTTTATGAGTTTTTTTTGTTGTTGGAAGTATGTTAATATTATATGTATATTTTTTAAAAATCAGTAAGAAGGAGAGGAAAAAACCTTAAAACTATAAGCAAACTGAACAAATGAACCCAGTTGTATTGCTAGTGAATAACATAACCACATAGGAGAAGGAAACTAAGTAACTGCTGAACATGTCATTTGACTATATACACTTAGTTGAGTAGCAGGGTAAACAGCTGCAAACAAATCCTGAACTCTTTTTAGAAGGTTTATTGTAGTTGTATGAAAGAAGCAATATGAAATTATTTGGGGTATATAGTAGAATTGAGTAAATAAATATGTTGATGTTGTTGGGAGCCAGGGTTCTCATTGTGGAAGAAGGCAAATACAGATATGGAATGGGGCGAAGCATGGAATAAAAGATCCTATGGGAGAACATTGGAATTGGAGATACCAGCATAAACTCATGATTTCTAATACATTTTATACACACACACACACGTATATTTGAACATGTGTGCTTACATATATATGTGTATATATATATATATATATATATATATATACACATTCCTAACACTGTCAGCTGAAAAGGCCTAGAAACATATGACAATGAGCACATCTGGCACCCAGATATTGGTTACTAATACAGTTTCCCAACTAAAAGGAATCTGGGCTCCTGGTAGAAACTGTTGATTACAGGGCTGAGGCAGGAAAGGTACAAGATGAGCCTGGAACAGTGTGTTATGCCAGAAATTGAAGAAGAACTTAAAGAAAAAAAGTAAATTAGGGCATGTCAAGAGGACACAGGAGCCAATTTAAGGGGCTCCCAGTGACCAAATCTGGGATGATTTGAGTATCAAGATAACTAAGGATAGTAATAAATTATAAGCCATTGAAAAATAGGAATTCTTTTGCCATGAAAGACAAAGGCTGAGGAATAATAAGTACCAGATTAAAGGAGACTAAAGAAACTTGACAGCTAAATGCAGTAAGTGATTCTGAACTGGATCTGATACTTCTTACTGAAGGAAAATGTATGCTACAAAGGACATCATTGGCGTCATTTCACAAAATTGGAGTACAGATGGTAGATCACAGTACCGTACCATTGTTAACTTTCCTGAACTTGCTAATTCTACTATAGATATTTACTGGAATCTTCTTGATTTTAGGAAATAGACTTTGAATTACTTAGGGATAATGCGGCATGATATGTGAAGCTTACTATAGGGATAATAGGGCATGACGTGTGAAGCTTACTATCAAATGTTCAGAAAAACAATTTGTGTGTGTGTGTGTGTGTGTGTGTATGCGTTGACTATTCAGTATGAAAGCAAATGATAAATGGGGCAAAAAGTTAACAATTGGTGAATCTGGGTAGAGAGTATACAGAGTTTCTTTGTACAGTTCTTGCAACTTTTCTATAAGATTGGAATTATTCCAAATAGAAGATTTTTAAAGGTTGGTGTTTGGCATGCACAAAATATTAAGGGTAATAGAGCAGACTTCTGAAAGCAGAAGGTTTGATAACGTCAAGCATTTTGAAGGACTGTTACATGGAAGAAGGATTAAGACTTTGAATTTGGCTAATCTTATTTTGTGTCAGTCTGCTTTGTGTAATATTACAGCACATCCAAGAGGTCATGACTGGAATGAGAGGTAGGAGTTCTTTAAGCTTTATGGAGTCTTTGGTATCATTCAGAACAGAAAAGTGCGAAGACTGGCGCTTCTAAAGGTTCATCAGGTAGAGTGAATGAGTGAAAGGGAGTGTAGGAATATGGGTACTGGTGGCAACTTGAGAGCAATGTCCTCTCTAAAGACTTTCAAGTACGACTAAAGACAAAACCACAGCCCTGTGACAAAACCACAACTGCTGTGTGTTGTGTCTGGCCTGGGAGTGGCCAGTTATGATCCCCTGATCTTACCTAATCCTCCTCTTTTTTTTTTTCAGGTGAGGAAATGGGTACCAAAAGTCACAAAGTGTGTGAGATAATGAAAGGTGTAAATGTGTGCATGTACATTGAAACACATCATATTTAATGAAAGAAATTAACATCCACACATTTGTACTTTTGTACAATTTTGGGTAATATATAATTTTTAAGCTGTTTACAAATAACATGTAATGCTTCAAATATTACATAATGTTGATAATACATTTCTAGCAGAAATAAATATATTGCACTTAAAAAGAACTTCATTAGATGTTACTTTATAGTATTAGGCTTATAACTTCTTTTTCATAAAACATTTCCCATGCCCTTCCCACCACCCCCAGCACACACACTTCATTACAGTGACTGTTCTCACGCAGTTCGTTAAGCAAATGAACACAGCAAACAATAGAACTGTGATAGAGTCTACTAAAGAGGCTAGATCCAATTTTATCCTTTAGGAAATAGAAGACCTTCTTTTAGGTTTCTGAAACTAAGAAAAACAACAACTAAATAAAGTATTTTAATGTACCAGAAGTAAAATACAACAAGCTGTATTTTTTGTCCAGATGTACTATTTCACCAAAATGTTTTTATTTTCTTATTATCAGGGGAGGAGGTTGGAATTATCTAAGGGAGAGACAGAGAAATAAGGGCCAGAGAATACTTATGGATTATTCGTCTATCAAATATTTGTAAATGAACCTTTGCATATTTAAGCATGCTGAAGAAAGCTAAGTATTGGAATATTTTATAACTGGCATGGAATAGTAGTGAAGAAAGAATGTTACGATTTCCTAAAATTTTAAGAGTTTTTAACCTTCCCTTTGCTTGTTTACATAAAATCCTTACATTCTGAAATAATATAAAAATTTATAAAATCCATCCTCCACCCAAGCCTAGCTCTCTAAAGGAGCCAGCTGAAAATTTTTTCTGTCCAGTGCTTCATTTCTGTCCAGTCTAAATTTATAGTATAATATTGTTTTGTTTGTAGTAATTATCAATTCCATACACATTTAATAATGAAAACAGTTTTCCTTACTTGGTCAATGGAAGATTGAGTAAAAATATTGTTCTTCTTGCCATATTTGATCCTGTACATTACATAACTGACTTTTTGAACTTTAGTTACTGAGTCATGGCTTGAGTTTGACTGTGTTTTTAATGAGGTGGTAAAGTCACTCCATTTACCTTATTTGAAGCTCAGTTTTCTTAGTATAATTCAGCTTAAATATAAGCAGGACAGCCTGAAAAGCTAATGTGAAATTCAGAATTGGGATAAATATCCTAATATCTCTATGAAAAATTCATAGGCAGTATGGGATGAAGATGCTTTGCTTCTAAGAATACTTATTCTTGGGCTTTTAGAGGGTTTCCTTTTTGTCCCCCCAGGGTGGAGCATTGTGGCTGGAGAAGTGCAATTACAGAGATGTGGATAAGGATGGAGAGAGGAGGTTTTGGAATATGACACGAAGTCAGTGTGACTTTTACACAGGGTGTTTAGTAGATGATGCATCATAATCAGGAAGTGTCTTAATATCTCCTACTCTGTGCCCACCTACTAGAAATGGTGGTAGACCTTTAAGACAACATACCATTGTTATAAACTCAAAAGGACCAGCAATGTAATATAAATTCATTAATATAGACCTTGTTACCTAATAATTTGTAATGTGTTGGATACAAACTGGATATGTTTATCTTTATACTGCCAAGGGTGGACAGAGGAGGGGGGAAGACTTACTAAGTAAAAGAAATAAATGAGCTTACTCAGAATTATTGATAAACATTTTCAAAACATATCACATATGTAGAATCTACTAAGTTATGAATTAATTCTTTTGGGTTAGATAAAGCCATTCTGGCAGGGCCACTTTTTAGCAGCACCATACGTTAGCCAGGCTTTTTAATACTGTAATATACCTGGGGGGGACCCTGAATTTATTCCAAATATACCATAACTCATGCTCTTTATTATTCAGTTGGCTTTGTCCCTAGTTATCTAGTTCTTGCAATTGTTTTTGGTAAAATAGACTTTAGAGTTTTAAATGTTAAATACCCAAGGGGTTAAGTAATAATCAACAAGCAGAAGAGCTCAGAAGAACCCTGGTGGGGTCATATATCTACCCCTGGTTTCCATGACTAGAGTGACTGACCAGGTTAAGCTCCATTTCACCTGTGCTTCTTCTTTCTTGTTCAAATAATACCAGATACTTAAAAAGTGTATCCAAGAATTTCAGGTGTGATTTTCCAAGAGCATGCTTTGGTGTCTTAGTCTTTGCTCTTCTCTAAGCGTGCTATTTATTTTTAGTCTTATGTTGATTAATTACAAAATAAAGTTATGAATTCAGGACGTACTAGCATAAAACCATATTTAACAAAAATATATAAACCTACTTTTGAGACACACCAATTGGGAAAAATGTCAAAATAGTATTAAAATGATCCCTTCATGCTTGTTGAAAAGAAAATTCAGATATGGATTTGTTTTAGTAGACCAGTCATTTATTAGGGTATTAAGTAGTATCATGTAAAATAGTATTTACTTTTGTTATTCTTGCTTTAAGTAGCAGTACTCTGTATTAAAAGCACTGACAACAGGCCAACTATTAAACATTAAATCCCCATCCTAAGCTCTGTGGATATGTACTTTAAACATTATGCATAACTACTTTTTTAAAGAAACGCACATCTGTGCTGTGTCTGAAAACAAACTACCTGTGGATACTATAGCATAACATGGAAGAAGTTAGAAATAAGCCTACCGTGTCTGCCATAGGACTTTGAGATGTTTGGTTAACGCAGCTGGTGCTTCTTCATAACCAAACCTTGGAATACAGTGGAGAAAGTCAATTGCAAGGTCCAACAATAGCATCACTTAGACAGGCTGTGCCAATTATACCTTGTTTCACAGGCTGGAAATGCCCAAGAAAGTCATTTGATATGGAAAAGCATTAAAACAACCAAATAAAATCCCACTTGAGTTTGATGTGATAAGTATATTACATTTGACTTCCAAATATACCTCTACTCTCAGCAGCAAGATTTCCCATCTCCTTGAACAGATTCAATACTTTTGTAGTCAGAATGAAGTAGAATGAATATTACATTAAAAATTAAGAATATTGGGGAGCTTTGTGAAGAAGACAGGTTAAATTCTATAGCTAAGAATGCATTATATCTAAAATTGAAGGACTACAAATTTCATTAAACCTCTGTTATTAGGGAAATGAACTGTTGCAAAATGCCAAATGTACTACCCTGATTGTAAATGCTTAGATATATATGGCTCAAAAATAATACAGAAATTATATATAACTACAATATAGTTAATTACTATTATAAATATTAAAAGAAGGCTTAAGAAGATAGCAAGAGTTGAAAATAAAGTGGATAAATCCTTTAGATTTACTTATAAGCACTTCCAATGTTTCAGTCAGGGTGTCATTGAGTTAACATGCAATTTCATGCACCTAGAAAAATGGTAGAATTACTGAGTGTAATACAGTGAGAAAAAAGGGCCAATCAGATAGATGGACACATACCTATTCGTGACCAAAGGTTAAGTGGTGGCTATATGGCCATTTAGAATGGTCATTCATAAATCTTTGTCAGTCAGTGGCAGCAGCTAATCAAACAACAAAGATTTACTGAAAATGAGAATTTGGCCTGGTGCATTTTAACATCCATAAAGTCTCCCAAAGCTGAAGTAAAAATGAAGGGAGCTTTGGTACCCACGGCAGAAAAATTCCTTTTAGAATAGGGCAACCATCTTTTTATTGTAGTGAAAGAAAGTCTCATGTGTCAAGGTGTAGAGACTTTAAAGTGTCCCTCAGTGAATAAATCAGCAGTGTATTTAGAATGCAGCCCAGAAAAATAAAACCTCAGTTTTATTCGTATATGGAAGATTTTTCCTACATAAATGGCAAGTAATTGCAAGAAAGAGAATTAGAAAGAAAGAAAAGACTGTGAAAAAGAACTTGTCAGGTACTGGCCCTTCAATATTACAGAAAGAACTTTGTGAAGTCATTACCACCTATTCATCCACAAATTAGGATGCATTAGCATTATCTCAGCTCCTTCCCCAGCAAACTAACACAAAGGAAAACTAAACATGCTTAAGCTACAGCACTACAAATACTTCTCTATTGGCTCTCATTTCTATAGGGAGAAATGGACTTCAGTTAGTCATTATGCATTGTGGTATGTTATATAGTATTGCCTCTTTGAAGATTCTTTTAACCTGTGGAAAGTAGAAAGAAAACCTATACATGTTGACTTTATACATTACTGCATTGACACAGCATTTTTAACCACTAGGAATAATGCATCTTAAGATTCATCTGCCTTGTATTATTAAACTTTCTTGGTACATTGATATCCAATAGTTGCAGGACTTAGGCTGGCTAAGAACTTTACACTGATTCTCTCTCAAAGCCAAAAGATGTCCCCCACTACAGATGAATCCTGGTCCATGGTGCTTTCCCTCAGTGGTTGGTGTTATTGTGAGTCCAGCTCTCCTCTCTAATAGGTCCCATGTCTCCTGGAGAGCCCCGGCTCCAACACCCCACATCCCACCCACCCAACCCTGTCTTATATTTCCATACCCATTTGCACATTCTGGATCTGGATTCTCCTATTTTTAGAAGAGTCATACAAATGGCGTCATCACAGCAGAGGAATGGCGCAGTCCTTGGATAGCAGCATAGGGCCCCTGCTGAAAGTAGTGATGATACCGGGGCATGTGGAATGAGGGGAATGTCGGGCCACTCCCTTGCATGGAGCTGGCAATGGCCGATGGGGTTAGAGGCATCCCAAGTCGGCTATATGGTGGCAGAGAGCCCTGTATAGGGTGAGGAATGGGTGTTGCTATGGATGCTGTGCTGGTGCCAAGAGCAGTCAGGGACTGTGGGTGCTGAAATCCAGGAAAACTGGATGAAGATGATACCCAGGAACTGAGAGACAAATTATCAGATGTTGTAAAGGCTGATCCTGAAAGGAAAAAAAAAGTCTCATTAGACTGGAAACTCTACTCCAGTGTGCAAATCAAGAATTACATTATCTGAACAAATACCATATGCTAACACATATATATGGAATCTTAAAAAAAAAATAAAGGTTCTGGAGAACCTAGGGGCAGGACAGGAATAAAGACGCAGACGTAGAGAATGGACTTGAGGACACGGGGAGGGGGAAGGGTAAGCTGGAACGAAGTGAGAGAGTGGCATGGACATATATACACTACCAAATGTAAAACAGACAGCTAGTAGGAAGTAGCGCATAGCACAGGGAGATCAGCTCATGCTTTGTGACCACCTAGAGAGGTGGGATAGGGAGGGTGGGAGGGAGACACAAGAGGGAGGAGATATGGGGATATATGTATATGTAAAGCTGATTCACTTTGTTATACAGCAGAAACTAACACAACATTGTAAAGCAATTATACTCCAATAAAGATGTTAAAAAAAAAAGAATTACATTATCTGTAAGGGTCAATTTTATTTTTAAAATTATGTAATAGATCTATAATTTAAAAGAGAGACAGGTCAATCATGAGGCATATCTAGCTTTCCACACAAGAATATATCATTTATACCATATATGGAAAAGAGAATTTACTGACTTAATAGATGGCCTGCATACTCCCTGAGAGTGGCCAAAACACTAGCAACCTGCCTGAAGGTAATGACCTGATTCCCTTTAAAGGACTTCCAAATAGCTGATATCCATCCTAACCTCTGTAGCATCCCTATAAGTAAGGCTGGACAGACAAGCCTCAACAAAGCTACCTGGTTTCCAAAGCCACTATGAAAACCCACAAGACTGTTTTTCTTTTTTTTTCTTTAGCTTCTGTAACTCTTTTCTTTTGGAAATAATGAGAACATTTACTATGTTGATTACATTTAAGACAGATACACAAAATCCAAACACATTTTAATATGCCAGCTCTACTCAGCATAGCTGAGTTATGTGGAAACAATAAGCACTGTCAAAAATAAAGCATAAATACTTAGAAATTACTCTAAAAAGAAATGCATGATACTTATTTGAAATTTTTCACACGACTCTATTGAAATAGAGATGTAAGGAAAGATTTTAATAATTGGAGACACATGCCATATTTTTGGATGAAAAATAAAAATTTTTTAAAAGTCATTTATTCCCAAATTAATTTATTGGTTGAGTGTAAAGCCAATGAAATGCCAATGTTTTTTCCCGCTTCAACTCGATTCTCAAAATTATCAGGACAAATAATGACAGAATTTTAAATTTTTTTAAATTATAACAAGGATAGATTTCCCCTACCAGATATAAAAATATGTTATCATGTTATAAAAACAAAATAATGCATTTATGAAAATAGCATAGTACTGAGCAAGATGAGAAGCCACATCAATAGAAAAGAACAAATTGTCACAATACAAAATAAAATATATATGTATACTGTATCATATATTTAGTATATAATAATATACTAAGTAATAATGGTAATATACATCATTACAAACTATCAGGAATGACAGCTTAGCATCCATAATATTTTATTAGATATTTGACAAGTTGCAAGAGTAAGTTTTTCTTATATCACAGTATCCAGAAGTTTAAACAAAATTTGACACTGAATTTTCCAGTTGTAATTACTAGTAGCTCATCTGGACTTAGCTATGAGGTATCATATGTTCTGACTGTTTATGCTATTCCATATCATGGACATAAAAATATGACAGAGGACTCTCCCCATGTAAACATCCTTGTGCCTGGGCACCCCCCTCTGGTTTCTTTTCTCTGGCCTCCCAGATGCAGAGGGCTCCTCTATGAACATCTGCAGCAAAGGAACTTTATAGTATTCCCCTACTCTCACCACCTGGGCCACCGTCTCTACACAATGTGTTCACTAGGAGAATCTTCTTTTTAAAAGTGTTTTCCATTCTAGTCATTGATCCTAATAAGATATTCCTGATATAAGTAAAACAGATATATTCCCTGATTTTCAGATTGTAAAACTAAGGTTGAGAAAGACTAAGGGGCCACCCCCAAAGTCCAAATAGCTTTTTGGTAGTAGATCACAGACATAAATCCTGGGCCCTGACTCAGAGGCTCAATGTCCTTTTACTGGAAAACAAACTACAGGAAGGCTTTAGGCAGCATAATCACTTAAGATGCAAAGACAAAATAATGATCAGCCTCAGGCTGTCCCTTCCTGAAGAGGCTTCTGAAATACTCTGGGGCAGTCTCTTCCCTGAGGGCTGGAAGTCTCATCACCTCCCTGTCCAGCAATTGCATAGCCCAGAAGCGGTCTTACCTCGATTTTGTGTTGTCTGAACCTCATCCCCCAGCACATCCTCTTCTCCTCCATAGGTACGGATGGGTGAGCGGGCATAGGAATGCTTTTGAATCAGGCTCTCCACACTTTCCCTAGATTAGAGAGTGACACATCCTGAGTAAACTAAAAAGCTAAGTACTCAGAGAAGGAGAGGAGTCTTAAAGATGATTTACCAGTCAGTAAAACCATTTTATCAGCCAAAAGACCACCACTTCAGTAAAGAATCCGCCTTCCAATGCAGGGGCCGCAGTTTCTATCCCTGGTCGGGGAACTAAGATCCCACATTCCGCAGGGCAACTAAGCCCACATGCCACAACTACTGAGCTCACTCACGCGTCTCAACTAGAGAGCCCGCGTGCCACAAACTACAGAGCCCATGCGCCACAACTAGAGAAGAGAAAACCCACAGGCCACACGTTTCTAGTGTTCTAGAAAACTAGAGAGAAGCCCGAGCACTACAACGAAGAGCCCGCACATCGCAATTAAGACCCGACACAGCCCAATAAATAAATTAATTAATTAAAAAAATATTTTAAAAAAATACCACCACTTCAGGGAAAGACATTCAAAACATGTACGTTTATTTCATTGTAGATGCCTCAGAAACATGACCTCAGGCATATAAATACAAGAAACCTAACTGGACAGGATAAGGACAATTCCCTGAAACTCTACAAACTTAGGGTCAAAGGTGAACAAGGAGCTATAAAACCTGACCATAGGAATATGGAATTTAATGATGTGAAAAAATGACTGGTGAATTTACTACAAACAGCTGCAATCCTGTGACTTCATCAGCTAATGAATACAAAACAAATACTCACCTGATACAAACTGCCCTGATTGAACATCTGATAAAATACTGGCCCAAAGTTCAGAATATCATTAGTCATAAAAAAGACTCAATGTTCACTAATAAACCTAGTAAGTGCATAGAGTATATGACAATATGGGTAGTATGGATAATGGCCACTTTGAGATTCTTGTTGCTTTAAGACTGAAAATTATGGAAAACCTATGAAGGACACATAAAGGGCCACTAGGGAATTTAAGCCCCCAAATAAATGGGTGCATTGTCTTTGTAGATGGTCTTTCTCTTGCAATATAGTCTAAAAACTAAAGAGTGTTGTTAACTTTAAAAACAAAAATTATTTTGGTATTTGCCAGTTCAACCTGCTGCCATTAAGAGAGAAAAACACCAGATAAGAGGTTTTTTAAAATAATTAATTAATTAATTTTTGGGGCTGCATTGGGTCTTCGTTGCTGTGCACAGGCTTTCTCTGGTTGCGGTGAACAGGGGCTACTCTTTGTTGTGGTACATGGGCTTCTCATTGTGGTGGCTTCTCTTGTTGCGGAGCACAGGCTGTAGGCACACAGGCTTCAGTAGTTGTTGCATGCAGCCTTCAGTAGTTGTGGTACATGGGCTCAGTAGTTGTGGCTCGCCGGCTCTAGAGCGCAGGCTCAGTAGTTGTGGCGCACAGGCTTAGTTTCTCCACGGCATGGGATCTTCCCAGACCAGGGCTTGAACCCGTGTCCCCTGCATTGGCAGGTGGATTCTTAGCCACTGCGCCACCTGGGAAGCCTCCAGCTAGAGTTTAGCCAAATGATTTCTTTGCCAAAAATGGAAGTTGGTAATAGGTTAGCTTATACAGTATACATCTCCAAGAATAGCTGTGGCCTAAAGACCAACACCAAATTAACCACCAAAGGACAAAAAAAGGATTTTTAAAAAGTGTGTTGAATAAAGGACAAACCGAACACCAAATTTCATCTTGAGAGGATAAGGAAAGCAAATAAAATGTCATAATAACTTTTCAAAATGTAATACTTGTCAACATTTCACAGAGATATACAGACTTTACCTGTGAAAAAATACTAATAGTGAATTTGGTGTTCTAGAAAGCTTGTATACTCACACAGATTAAAGCATTGTGTCATATAGCATGCAAATGAAGACTTAAAGGTATGCCTAAAAGAAAAATTAATTCTAACAACTATTCAAGTTATATCTTTACTCCTAAAAGGTTTTAAAATAAGCATACAGTACCACCTCATGTAGCCAAAATCACTGGGATCAGGCAAAATCCAGATCCAGTGGATTAACATGTAGGTGTTTAAAAAAATGACGCCATTCCATATTTATTGATATGGAATGATCACCAAGACATATTAAGTGAAAAAAGTTAAGTACAGAACAGTGTATAAAGTTTGCTACCATTTGTGAATTTAAAACAAGAAATATGTATGTTTGTATATGCACAGTATTTCCAGAATGTTCCAACTTCCAGAACAGGAAGCTGCCTAAAATAGGTTGTCTCTGTAGTGTGGAACTAGGGACCTACTGGAGCAATGATTCCCAAATTTGTCCCAAATACACTTGAGTTACCTAAAGCTCTTAAAAAACAACAACTGTATTGAGGTAAAATTAATGTACAGTAAGTGGCATATATTTAAATTGTACAGTTTGATTGATTTGGACTTACGTGACCAGTGACACCACCACCACAAGTGAGATAATAAATGTATGTAACACCTCCAAAAGTTTCCTCGTGCCCATCATGCTCCCTGGTCTCCACCCCAACATACTTTTCCAAGGAAAACACTAGTATGATTTCTGTTCCTACACATTAGTTTGTGTCTTCTAAAATTTTATAAAAATGAAATCATACCTTATGTGTATCTTTTTATCTGGCTCAATTACTTTGAGATTCACATATTAATAGTTCATTCTTTCTTATTCTGAGTAGCATTCTATTGTATGGACATACTATAGTCTACCTGTTTATCTGCTGATGGACATTTGTGTTGTTTCTAGTTTTTAACTGTTACACATGATGCTGCTGCATATATTAATATGTATTTTTAAATATACATATGATTTCTGTTCTTTTGGGTAAATGCCTAGGAGTGGAATGGCTGGATCGTATGGTCGGTATATGTGTAATTTTTTAAGAAACTGCCAACCTATTTTCCAAAGCAGTTGTATCATTTATTTTAGTATTCCCACTCAGCAGTGTATGAGAGTTCCATTCCTCCACATTCTCACCAACACTTGGTGTGATCAGTCTTTTTAATTGTAGCTATTCTAATACACAGGTACTAGTATGTCATCATAGTTTTAATTTGCGTTTCCGTAATGACTAAGATGTTGCTCATCTTTTTATGTGCTTATTTGCTTCTATATATCAACTGTGGTAAAACTGTTCAAATATTTTGTTCATTTTAAAAATTAGGTTGTTTCCTTATTATTGCGTTTTGAGATTTCAATATATATTCGGGATGCTTGTCCTTATAGGATGTATGACTTGCAAATATTTTCTCCCAGGCTGTGGCTTGTCTTTTCATCTTTAACAGTGTCTTTTAAACAGCAGAAGTTTTTAATTTTTATAAAGTCCAATTTATTGTTTGCAATTTTATGGATGCTTTTGCTATACTATCCCAGAATCTTTGCCTAAACCAAGACCATAAAAGTTTCTCTTGGGCTTCCCTGGTGGTGCAGTGGTTGAGAGTCTGCCTGCCGATGCAGGGGACACGGGTTCATGCCCCAGTCTGGGAAGATCCCACATGCCACGGAGCGACTAGGCCCGTGAGCCATGGCCACTGAGCCTGCGCGTCCAGAGCCTGTGCTCCGCAACGGGAGAAGCCACAACAGTGAGAGGCCCGCGAACCGCAAAAAAAAAAAAAAAAAAAAAAAGTTTCTCTTAATTTTTTTTTCTAGAAGTTCTTATAGTTTTAGGTTTCACATAATGATATATAATTTGCCTTGAGCTAATTTTGTATAAGCATGAGGTATGGATGGATGTTCATTTTTTGCTTATTGATAGCCAACTATTCCAGCACTATTCGTTGAAGAGATGACCCCGTCTCCACTGAATTACCACTGCATCTTTGTCAAAAAAAATCTTCTTCCTCTTTTTGCCTTCTTTTAGGTTATATTTTATAATTCCATTTCATCTCCTTTGTTGGTTTGTTTATTATTTATAACTTTTGGTTTTTTAGTGGTTGATTTAGTGTTCACAGTAAATATCTTTAACACGTCACAATCTGCTTGGCAAGTGATAGTTACCACTTTAAGTATAAGACTCACAATAACATTACTTTTATTTCTCTCTTCTAACCTTTGTATCATTCCTGTCAGACATTTTACTTTTACAGAAACGCCACACTACACTGTTATTTTTTTGTCTAAACAGTGAATTATGTTTTAAAAGATTTGAATAATTTGAAAAAAATTGATCTACTTATTCTTGTAGTTACCATTCCCACTGTCCATCATTCCTTTGCGTAGATCTAGGTTGACATCTGATATAATTCTCCTTCTACCTGAAGGACTTCCTTTAACATATCTGTAGTGCAATTTTGTGTGTCTGAAAAAAGTCTTCATTTTGCTTTTTATTTTTTCTTTTTTGCAATACGTGGGCCTCTCACTGTTGTGGCCTCTCCCGTTGCGGAGCACAGTCTCCGGATGCGCAGGCTCAGCGGCCATGGCTTACAGGCCCAGCCGCTCTGCGGCATGTGGGATCTTCCTGGACCGGGGCACGAACCCATGTCCCCTGCATCGGCAGGCGGACTCTCAACCACTGTGCCACCAGGGAAGCCGCTTTTTTTTTTTTTTTTTTAACATTTTTGCTGGGTATAAATTTCTAGGTGAGCAGACTTTTTTCTTTCTGCACTTTTAGAAATGTTGCTCCACTGTCTCCTCATTTACTTTGTTTCTGACAAGAAATCTGCTGTCATCCTTATCTTATCTACTATGTCTTTAATTCCCTGGTTGCTTTCAATATTTTCTACACTGGTTTTGAGCAATTTGATTATGATGTGCCTTGGTGTTACTTCTTAATGCTTCTTGAGCTTCAGTTTGTTGGCCCTCTTTGGACTGTGTTGTCATTAAATTTGGAAAATTTTTGAACATTATTTCTTCAAATATAATTCTTCCTTCATCTCCCCATCCACCTTTTAGGGGCTCCAGTTCTCCAGTTACACATATATTAGACTATATTAGTTATATTATATATATTAGACTATATTATATTAGACTATATTATATTATTATTAGACTATATTAGTTTCCCCACAACTCACTGATACTCTT